CTTAAGTAATTATACATACTTTTCTCCAAATGTTGCTTCTTTTATTTGAGTCCAATGGAATCCTTAGTTTATTTGAAGTCTTGGAGCTCTTTCTTTTTCAGTGCACAATGACTAACACATTAGTGAGCAAGGCCAAACTATTTCTTTCCACATTCCTTTCAAATTATATTCTGGAAGTTAGGTATGGTAGTGTATCCCTATATATAGTTCCAGCACTCAAAAAATGGAGGCTAGAGGATGGTGAATACAGGTATCATTACTCGTATCTGTATTCAATCATTCTACTCTTTGGGTGATATAGATTCTGCTGTAGCTTCTACTTTCTGAATGCTAGGATTACAGGCATGTACTATCATGTCTGGCTCATTCCATTCTCCAATCTAGGCCCTTCATCACTTTGTTTCTGTGGCATTATAAAAAGTCTTCCCCACTAAGTACAGTGGCATATACCCATAATCCCAGCACTCAGGAGGCTAATATAGGAGAATGGAGAGGTTGAGGCCAGTCTGGGATATTTAAGGAGACTCTCACTTAAGGATTTTTGAAACTCTACTTCTTCTGATCAAGTATAGATTCTTTTGGTTGATTTTTAAGATCAGTAAGACTGATCTGCTGCTACCAAAACAGGCATTCTACACAACGTGCCAGAGCAATGCCTGGCTCAAGGCATGATATTATTATAGCAGTTCAGCCTTGTGCTCCAATGACTATGGTGTTGTGTGACTACACCATACTCTTTCTCAGACCGGTTTTATTCATGTGTTCTGTTTGGAGAGAACAGGAAGAAAATAATGAAAAGGTATGTGGTTTCTTTCTTTTGTAACTAGTACTCCAAAATGACACCTTTCTATAACCTAATTACATTTAAACCCATTTGATTGTTATCTCTTCCAAGAAGCTGTTGCCAATTTCTTCTCTGGGTGACACAGATTTTAGACTTGAAGCCAAATCTCTTGTAAATCTTGTGGGAGGAAGCTTCTTCTACACATCCATTGCCTTTGAGAAAGTGATGGAAACATAGAAACTAAATAATAATAATGGAGCTGAGTGCTGTGGCTCACTCATGTAATCCTAGCTACTCGGGAGGCTGAGATCTGAGGATCATGGCTGAAAGCCTTCCCAGAGAGGAAAGTTCATGAAACTCTTATCTCCAATTAGCCACCAGAAAATTGGAAGTGGTATTGTGGTTGAAAGTAGTAGAGCTCTAATCTTGAGCAAAAATGCAAAGGGAGAGAGCCCAGGCCTTGAGTTCAAGCCCTACTACTGACAAAAACAAACCAAACAAAAAATAACGGTCAATTAATGGAGAGAGCCCAGGCCTTGAGTTCAAGCCCCACCGCTGACAAAAACCAAATAAACAAAAAAGAATGGAGCAAGACACTCAAAGTCTAATAACTGCATACCTAACACCTAAATAACTAGTTAAACTATAAAATCCACCTTTGTACCATGTAGAAGTTATGAAATGTAGGTAGCGCACACAACTGCTCAGCTGCTTACATTTACCATAATGCTCCATAATCAGTTATCATTACAAGGAAAAGCCGAATGCTTGGTTTGTACCAAAGCACTTTGTTAAATATTTCCCCTTTAAGGTGGCATTTCATTCTTATAAAGAACTATGTGAACTAATATTATACACATCTTTTAATGAACTGATTTCCAATAAGGTTAAATAACTTGCTCATGATCATACCTAATAATGGATATGAGTATAAAAATCATGTTTCTGTGACTCTAAAGCCCTGTATCTTAAATTATTTCCAGATTATATATCCGCCCCCCGCCAAAATAGTCCTAAAATTGCTGGAGAAAATATGTACTCTCTTATGCTCCTAAGAAATAAATATGCCAACTGGGAGAGAGCCAGGAAAGGAGTAATTTTACCTGACTTACGTAACTGCAACCCCTTTGTACATTACCTTTATAATAACAATAAAAAAGTTTTAAAGTCAGCCATTGGATGTTCATGCCTGTAATCCTAGCTACTAAGGAGGCTGAAGATTCCAGTTCAAAGCCAGCCTGGGAATGAAAGTCTGTGAGACTCATCCCCAATTAAACTACCAGAAAACTGGAAGTGGAGCTGTGGCTCAAAGTGGTAGAGTGTTAGCCTTGAAGAAAAAAAAAAGTTCAGGGACAGTGCCCAGGCCCTGAGTTCAAACCCCACAAAATAAATAAGTAAGTGTGTCAATATTCGCAAGCAGAGATGTCTTCTTTTCTCCTGGACTATATATATATATTTAACAACAGTAAACCCAATAGCATGGAATTACTTCCCAAAAGCCCATCTTAGTTTTGCCATTTTCTATGGAGGTCTAGGATGCTTTGCTTTATTTTTCCCGTGAATATGTGACCTGCAGGCCACATGCACTGGAATTCAAAAGGCATGCATGGCTTGTGGGATGGCAAATGTTACTCTGTGTGATATTCCACATGCTCCTTATTCAAGAATTCAAAGGGAGTGTCCCCAAAGATCTGCAAAGCATCTTTTTGTGAAGTAGAAATGTCACATGAACAATAATGTTCAGAATCAGAGGCCCTAACTAGCTCTTGAAACATTGCATTTCTGATATCATAAACACACTTTCCAAACCAGACATAAAGAATGAAACCTTGGAACACATGTTCTCGATGGGTGTTCTCTGTGGTTATTTTAACCAAGCAAGGTTGAAAACAGAAATCTAGCTTCTGCTTTAGATTCTCTAGGTAAGGGTCAGTTCTAGAAAACTGGAGACACATTGATCACAACATTAAAATATTAGTGTTGATAGATTTTTTAATGTGCATATGGCTTCATAAGACTTATTCTCTTTTTGAAGGTATCTATTAAGAAAGATGAATTTCAAAAGTAAGCATTCAGGAAAAAGGTAAGCATTCTTAAGGCATTTGAAAGAAAAGAGGGAAAGATTGGAGCAAGTAAGTCCAAATTCTCTAATAAGACATACAAAAGTTTTAAACTCAGGAACCAAGAAAGTTCAAAACTTATATTTTAAGAAAGTGTTTATTCATGAAGCCCCAACATCAAGACTCACATCTCTAGAGCTCTTTTCTGGTATAATTAAGTTATTTATCTGGTCCAAAATTATGTCATAGTATTGCTTTATGTACTGACTTTTATTCATAAGTTCATAACAGAACTTGTTCTGATCATATGAAGGGAAAGGAAAGTCTACACTTTATTCCTGGGTTTACATGTGACTTGAGAGCTAGCCACTTGTTTACTGACTATTCCTTGAATTCTTAGATTTACAAAAGGCATTTAAAACTCCTTTGGAGTATCTGAGAGAGTGTGGATTTCCCAGGACTGGAGTTTAGAGCAAATTTCCATTACTTCCTAACATTATATTCTCTCAGCTTCAGTCTTTCTTTTTATAAATAGGGGGTTCTCAATGCATGGTTGTTTCAATAACCAGAAGTAATATAGGTGAATTACTAATGCAAAATATGAGTGGAAATAATGGTATCTGTCATTTCTATGTTGGGGATGAATTAATTTGCCTATTAGGAGGATTTTTGCAGCTCCAAGAGAGCTGGAAAAATAGGTCATAAAGGTCATCAAAAATAGATCATGGATAGATACTACATACCTAACACCTAAATAATTATTTATACTATAAAATCCACCTTTGTACCAAATAGACTTGAAATGCTAGTTACTCAGGAGAATAAGAGCTGTGACTCAAGTTGTAGAGTACTAATTGTGAGGGGGGAAAAAAAGCTCAGGGACAGTGCCCTGAGTGCAAGCCTCAGGACTGAAACAAAAATTAAAAATCATATTTTTGGAAAAATAGATCATAAGGAGTTAAGATTTCACCTCTTCCTACTCTAGAATATACTCTCCATGGTCCAGGAAATCCCAGGGTAGCTATGTCACTGACTACCTCACATAAACTCCAAGCTTCCTCTGGCTGTCCCACATCAGAATTCACAGAGCCCAGCTTTTCAATTCACATGATTATTTAAAAAAGAAAAAAAGATCCTGTCTCTTTTAAAGCAAAAATGTGTGTGTGTGTGTGTGCTGGTTCTTGCCTTGAACTCAGGGTCTGGGAACTCACCCTGAGCTTTTCTGCTCACTGCTAGCACTCTACAACTTGAGTTACAGCTCTCAGCCTCCTGAGTAGCTAGCATTACAAGTGCAAGCCACCAGTGGCTTTTTGGTAGGAGAGAAGAGCCTACAGGCTGATTTCAAATGCCACCCTCAGATTTCAGCCTCCTGAGTAGCTAGAACTACAGGCATGAGCCACAGATGGCCAGCTTAATGATTAATTTTTAAAGCATTACTCCTCTGTGGACACTGTAGGTGGAGAGAGGGAAAAGAGAGAGAGAGGAGATGGAACTAGACAAAGAGAAGACCTGGGGTTAAATAGTAGTGTTTGAGCATGTGATTTTAACAGATGACATTAAACTAAGCAATGGCCCATGGAAGAGAGCCAGGGCTTCCTTTCCCAGCCAGTGTGACCTCCCACCACATGAGGTCCCTTGTTCAAAGGTGGTGCAATCCAATATGTGTGTTAAGAGGTCATTGCGGGGAGCCATGACCAAGGGCTCTAAGTATGGCAGCCTCACCTCAGATCTTACTATTTTCAGAGGCCCCGCCTCACCTGCCCCATTCATCACTCTGGCTGAAGTCTGTTTCCGGTGAGAAGCCAGCATCATGAACTGAGGCTTTAACAAATGTGGCTGGAAGTGAGACAGTGATATTTTTATATCACCTAACCATCTGCCAGCTCGTCATAAACATTTCCTCATGTCATTTTAACAATGACACACTCTGCTATCCTTAGAAATTGCTATAGCTCTAATGAAGTAAGCTAAAATAACCAAATTAAGGTGGGGGAAGGCATTGCCGGAGGCATTTCTGGAAGCCACAATCTAACAACACGTAATGAAATATCATACACTTGACCACCAGGCCTATCCAACTTTAAAACTTGATGAAATTAGAGAAGACAGTGAAGGAGAGCAGGAAGGAGCTGGCCCAATCCCCCATCAGATCATACCTGAGGAGTCATTGAGGCTGAAGGCGATGCGGACTGGCTTATCTGCAGGTACCCTGGCTGTGCTAATCATGTGGGCACCTGAGGCCCGGTCTTCTCCTGGGTCTTCCAGCTACAAGGAGAAGACAAAGACCTTGTCACTGAACCTAATATAATGACTCCAAATACTCGGACACTCTTAGAAATTAAAAGGGAAAGTTAGCAATCTCCTTTCCTCTATAACAAGACTATCCACCTGCTCATTTTCTCTCTGGATTATAAAAAATACTTTAGCAATGTACATCTAGAATGGATGAAATATGACAAGTATCTACCTATGTCTCTGATATAATGTCTCCTCATACCAATTTAATCATGGCTTTCACAGTCACATAGTGTTTTATTTTTAATTGGGGGAAAATAAAAGATAGTCTTAATAAGTTATCAAGTGGTTTCTGATAAGATACTTTTTCATACTCAAAAGTCTAAATTAAATTTGAAGTTTTGAATCAGAAGTGGTAAAGAGTAAGTATAATGGAATTAATTTAAAAGAATATCAAAACCATGTAAAAATAACAGTTCTATTATAAATATTGTACATGTTCAAAACCAGATTACTTATAAATCTATGAAAGATTTCTAGCCTATAGTTTCATCCCTAATTAGCATATGATGCAAGCAAAAGCCAAAACTGATAACAACCTTTGGGTGTTTCGCTCCATATATTAAATTACCATTTAATTAATAAACTTGGAATGAATGGGAAAACATCTTACATATCAGATGGAAAGGGGAACGTACATGAATATTTCTGTGTCATGAGAGGATTTAGCCCAAACACACTTTAATCAACATATTTGATAACCTGTTATCCATTGGGACTAGAAGTAGATAATATCATATGATATTTTTGTTATTTCATACATATATTTAACTTTTCTATTTTTGGTCCTACTTCCCCTAAACCATCTACATGCTGTCTCATGTAGACAGCAGACCAAAAAACCAGAGTGATATTTTAAGAAAAATTTCTCTAAAAATGGCAAAATATAATCTCTTTAGCCATCCTTAGCAAGATTCTGTGGACGGCTATAGCAGGATATTTTCTCATAGCAAGGTTTCTGACTCTTTCCCATGGCTTTTCTGGCTCTATAAATAGCATCTAGGACACTGAATTTTGATTTTATCTTTATTTATACAGCCAAATTCAATGCATATATACATACGTACATGTGTATTTAGCTGGCCATACATTTAGAACCATCTTACTCTGTATGTAAAAGGAAAATGCATTCATATTAAGCACTTAATGCAACCTAAAGAAGAACAAAAACCCAGCAACTATTTACAATCCAGTTAGGATTCTATGGAACCCATTCATTTAACACTACAGATAGTAAGGAAGCATTAAGTAAGCACTCTCCCATGTCCAGTACTCCTACATTACAAAGAAATGGTATCCTGAAACATTTAAGAAAAAGAACTTCATAAACTTGCAAATACTTAGCACGGGATCGGTTTTTAGCTAACTCAGACATACTTCAGTGTGTTTCTTCTGCTTGGAATTGAGAGTTTTGTTAGACACTTGTTCCTGGAGGAAATGGTCTCAAAATTAACAGAACAAAAAAGCAAAATCCTCAAAATTCTGGCATCATGCACTCCACAATCAATCTTACCACAACATCTACCCATGAGAAGTTCCCTTGTCTTTGGTGAAATCTCCCAGCACATCTCTGCACCAAGAAAGAAAATGCAAGAGGTAGAAATGTGCCTCCTCCGTATCTCTAGTTTCCAGCCACTGGAGATAGAACTGAGGACTAACAGCAAATTACCACCCCTCTTCTGGGCACCACTGAGAGCATCCATCTGCCTCAGAAAGGATGGTGTTGAGGTTGGGTCGATTTTGTGTTCTACACAGCATCGACCCCAGGATCCCCTGAAACAACTTGCCTTTTCATCAAGACCGCCTCGGGAAACGGGCCACTGATTCCTTGTCTTGCTGGCTGGAGGCTGTAACAGAGCTTTGGTTAAGTTGCAGGAGCTGCGAGCGTTTTCACACCTGCTGCCTTACCTCACTTAGTTGAGTGTCTGCACTTGTGTAATCCAGGGCCAGCCACTGCCTTGGCTAGTTGTTGCCTTTGTGGAGTAAAGACTCAGTGAGAGACCAGGCTGCACCTGCTGCATAGCAGCTCCTGACACTGAGGGGCAGGGACAGCTGTCAGAGCTGCACACTGCTACCTGCTCTGCCCCCAGACCCCCGCGTCCCGCGGGACCTGAGTTCCGCTTCCCTCCACAACCCTCTCTTTCCTTTCCTTGCCTCTCCAACAGCCAGGATGTTGTCATGTTTCTAGAAAAAGCAAGAGCAAAAGAAAACCCTCCTCCTGTCAGGGGCATTGATAAACAGCAAGTTATGGAGAGTCCAAATGTTTTAATTCATTAGTCCTGGCAAACTTAAAATACAAACAGACTTGCTTCACAAGACAGGAATGTCTTCAGCGTGATCCAATCCGTGTCTGTGTCTATTCCAGCAAACTGGCAAAGATAGCATGACTCTAGTCAGCAAAAATGTCGGCCACTCCGATCAGCTCAGACAGACCCAGCCAGCTTGGACTGGCCACAAACCGACTCTCAGATGATAGCAGTGATGATCCCTGTTAAGGAGGAAAGGTTTGAGGTTGAGCCTTCGTTGGGTTTGATCCCTTCTACAAATACAGACAACCTCAAAAAGAGTCAAAGGGTAAATAGGAATGAACTGTTAGGATTTCTCATCCCCTTTAACAACTGTAAACTTGGATGTCATGAGTATTTAAAACTAGCCAGAGCATTATGTTAAGGTTAAATAATGAAAAACAAACAATAGTAACAGAATGTAAAGACAAGCCTAGAAGAAAATCATTACAAAACACAAATCAGATAAAGGACTGGCATCTAAAATATACAAAAAAAAAAAAAGCTAAAACTCAACAATAGGAAAACGACATAAAAAATAGGCAAAAGATCTGAACAGACACTTCACCAAAGATTAGAGAAATACAAACCTATAAAAAATGATGATCAGTTTCTCGTGCATTAAGGAATTGCACATTAAAACAATAGCAAATTATATATTAAAGTGACCAAACTTTAGTACAATGTCAAATTGTAATTGGAAAGTATATAGAAAACAGAGTTCTTAATTATTACTAATAGGAATGCAAAAATAGTACAACTACTCTAGAATACAATTTGATTTTTTTTTACAAAACTGACTACATACCATTTGATCCAGCAATTACCCTTCTAAGTATTTACCCAAATAAAATGAAAATTTAGGTCCAATAAAAATCTAACAATGTTAATAGCAACTGTATTCATAATTGCTCAAACTTGGAAGCAATCAATATACCCTTCGATTGGTGAATGAATACACAAACTATAGTGTATTCAGATAACTGTTATATATATATATATATATATATATTACTGTAAGAATACTGTACAGAGGGGTTACAGTTACATGAGTAAGGTAATGAGTAATTTCCTATTGAGCATTGTTACCTCCTATTGTGTTTTTCCCCTACCATCCCTTTCCTCCCCAACTTCTTCCTCCCCCTCCCAAGTTGTAAAGTTCGTTTGCAGCATACAGTCTTGTACCACAGATAACTTTTACTTGGGGATTTTAAAAAGAAAGAACTATCAAACTATAAGACATGGAAAAATCACAGTACATATTACTAAGTGACAGAGCTAATCTGTAAGGGAAGATACTGTCATTATGGCTACATAGCATCTCCCACTTGTCAAAACACAGAATGCACAACACAGAGTGAACCTTAACAAACTATGGCATTTAGTTAATAATAATGCATCAACACTTGTCCTCTAGTGCAAAATGTTAATAGAATAAAAGAGGAGTGAGAAGAATGAGGAAATACATGAGGACCCTAAATTTTTCATTCCTTTTTCTCTGTACAACTAATACTCAAAAACATTAAATAAGTAATATAACAGCAATTTCCTGACCAAATGAATGGAAATATAATTCATTATGAGATACACAGCAAGAAAGTTATAAAGATTTAATTACAATATACATATCAAAAGGTAATCCTTGTGAGAATATCTGTAACTATTTTAATGTTACTTTGTGATTAACATGACCTTACATAATGCATTGTAATTTATCACATGCATTTCTTGTCTATGATGTCATTTCCATCTTCCAGAGAATCTGTAGAACAGTCATCTCTGACAGATATATTGAGAAAATTTAAGTAATATGCTCAAAGGAAATGGTCATTATTGAATAAAGGATTTAGATAGAATTCAGTTTCTTTAACTTTTACCTCAGGCTATTTCAGGGTACTATGTCAGGGTACAATCTATATTAAAGATCAACTGAGTTTTTAAACTAAGAGTAGGTCTGAGTTTCAGCAGGTACCTGGATATAACCAAGGATATAACTTTGTTCAGTAACCCAGCATCCAGGATCATCTGTGATCAGCCATCTATATCATGACACCTAAGTTAATTCCATGGGTGCCAAAGTTGTGTATATGTACAGGATAAGGAAGTGGCTAACTGCTATGCTTTGGACTTGAAATTTTTCTCAAAGGCCCTTGTGTAGAAGGCTCAGTGCCAACCCTGGCACTGATGTGAGGTGGGAGAACCTTTAGTAGAAGGGGTTAACAGGAGGAAGTTAGAAGACTGGTATCACATCCTTGAAGGAGATAGTGGGACCTTGGTTCCTCCTCTTCTCTGTCTTTGCTTCCTCAACAACTGGAGGGGAGCAATTCCCTGTCTCACATACTTCCTCATGAAGCCCCGCCTCACAATAGCCAGGAAGACAATAGGGCCAATTGACCTTGAACTGAAACCTCTGAAAGCATAAGCCAAGATAAAACTTTCTGCCTCCTTGACTTCCTTAAGTACTTTCTCACAGCGATGGAAAACTAGCACAATACCACGTCTTCACACACTTCCACATAAACCACCTGGGGCTACCTTCATAAAAATCGGATGGTGCAGGGTGCCAGGGGCTCATGCCTGTAATCCTAGCTACTCAGAGGCTGAGACCTGAGGATCACAGTTCAAAGCCAGCCCAGGCAGGTAAGTCCATGAGACTCTTATCTCCAATAAACCATCAGAAAAGTGGTGCTGTGGCTCAAGTGGTAGAGCTCTTGCCTTGAGCTGAAGCGCTCAGGAACAACACCCAGACCCAGAGTTCAAGCCCCATTACCGACCAAAAAAAAAAGAAAAAAAATCTGCTGATGACTTGATGTTATCAAGGCAATCAGTATACAGAAACAGCTGGATTCCAGTGAAATTGACGGTTCAGAATGAAAAGACCCAGAATAAGCGAGCAAGTTCCTCTTCTAAGATTGTTTATCAGAGCTTCCAGGGACCATTTGGATCATGAATGAACATCTAGAGACAAAGATGGTTGCACATTAAACATAATGGAAAGATCTCCTACAACAGTTTTATCCCAAAGAAATGACCAGAATCCTCAAAGTGATCCTAGGAACTCCTACTGAGGAGGGCGACATTATTGTTGGATGAAATCTCCATGATATCAAGAGAGGTATGAAGGGTACAACAAAGGAAAAGATTTTAAAAGAGATCATTTGATTAGAAAGGAACAGAAAAGACCTAAAGAATTGATGATGTCACCTGGTACTAGTGGCTCACACTTGTAATCCTAACAACTCAGGAGGCTGAAATCTGAGGATTGAGGTTCAGTGCCAGCCAGGGCAGGAAAGTTTGTGAGACTCGTATCTCTAATAAACCAGCAAAGAGCTATGGCTCAAGTGGCAGAACACTAGCCTGGAATGAAAACACTCAAGGTCAGCACCTGGGCTCTTAGTGCAAGCCGTAGGACTGGCACAAAAGGGGAAAAAAAGAATTGGTCGAGTGTCTGAACCTGAAAATATAAATTGAAAGTGTCACAACCAACTCTTCTGTTCCCTTAAGAGCAATGGTACACTCCTTGACTCTTCTCCAAATACTTTTAAGACAACAACAATACCCAAGTGAAATCTCTTCCCACAACCAAAACCCCAAATAGCTACCTAGTATTTTAAGAATGCAATAGAATTAGACTAATTCATTCCAAGTGTGCAAAAGACAAGTGTGTGCATCAAAACAGATTTATAGTATGTTTAAATCTGGGTGGTACCCATATGTTTAATTTTTATTTTATTCTTTCCAGCAATAAGTATTTCTACTGATCATGTTAGTTTTCATATGTACAACAATATACTTGACATAAATCAGTTTAAAGGAGGAAGGATTCAGAGATTTCAGTCCATGGTAACTTGGCCCTGTTGCTTTTGGCTTGTGGTAGCATAACGCAACCCAGTAGGAGACTGCAAAGTAGGAGCAAAGATAGAAAGAAGAAGGGAGTAGGGTCCCAATATCTTCAAGGGTATAGTCACAATGACTTGACTTCTGTCCAGTAGGCCCTACCTAATAAAGGCTCCCTCACCACACAAGAGGGCCACAAGTTTAAGATCAAGCCTTCTAACGTATGGTCCTTTGGGGGAACATTCCAAGATCACTGTTTCATGGAAAATTAATTTTAGTATTTTAGTAAGAACTTTTCACAAAATGAGTATTCACTTATTATATGAAATACTCCTGATTTACAATAATAAACGACTGTGACAATTCTGAGGTGGAAATTCCTCAGTCCAATTCAACAAACATTACGTTAAGATGGGGTATTTTTCAGGTTAGTATTCCAGAATTTTCCTGATTACTAGGTTCATGTCTTAAAAAGAAAACAAAAAACAAAAGAAAAAAATCTATTTCCATGCCAGGAATCCATCAATGGCCTTGATTTATAATTCTATCCTTAAGACCTGTGCAAGTGTTAACCAGACATTTCATACCTCCAGGCTTTACTTTGTTCATGTAAGTAAATCAGACTTTTTGTGGAAAGTATTACAGGATAAAGAAATTAGAATTTGCAAACTATACAATCTCAGGAGTAATTAACTACCATCTACTGTTCTAGGTTGAAAGCAGCCAGAGATGACATATAAAATTGATGAATGAACTCCGGTAAAATTTTTATTTTCAAAAACTAATTGAAGTATACAGCGATATTCTAGTAAAACTGTATTTATGGAATTCCAAATAAGAGTCCACATAATTTCCAAAGGTCACTAAATATTTGCTTTCCTTTTGATATTTCTTCAACTATTTAAAATTACAAAAAATTTAGCCAGGTG